ACTTTGTCTTTCCTGTCCTTAGGCTTAGGAAAAAAAAAACTGGTTTCATTGGCAGTCTTTTTTTGGGGGGGGGTATTTTTTTGGTGTTTTCCTAGCACTGTCATAGTTTGTGGGTGGGTGTGTAATGTCCCGCAGTTATCTATGCATTAATAATGATCTAGTAATATTAATAATATCTAGTAATTAGTAATATCTAGTAATAACATCGTCTTGGCCACTCCCACCAGGTCACATGGGCGGCAAGCCACTCCCACAAAGGATGCCACGCCCACAGAGTAGGTTCGAACAATTTTTGAAACCCACCCCTGAACATCACCTATCTTCACTCTACAACACAGTCCTTTCAACAGTTCCAAGAAGGCTCCACATCCATTTGCACTACTCAGGTGACCCTGAGGACTCAGATAAACCTCCAGGTAGCCTCAACGATTCTTTAAAAGAATGCAAATGATCAGCTGTCTGCAAGGAGTATAAATCCTTCCATTCCCACCATCCAGTCAGAGCTGAAGAAGCTTCTTGGATGAGAAGCAAAGCATCTTCAAAGATAAAGTCCAGTTGCCTCTTGAAAAAGCACCTTTGGGACAATGGAAAGCTTACTTTCATTTCCTGAAGTTTTTCCACATATACATGTTTTGGCTGATCCTCTCCATCTTCATAAAGCCAGTTTTCTATATCCTCTAACATTAATGTTATTTGTCTTGAATCCTAGAGGCAAAATAGTACATCATACAATAAGCCATTGATTTTTATCATTTTAAACTAGTGGAAAAAAATAGTTCTATAATAATAGTTTGTTACTTACACTGAATTACAGTAATAAGATTATAACCAAAGAATCTTTTGTAAGCTCTTATTTCTACGCCATTCATAAAGAACAAATAACAGTAACTCCAATGTAAGAGGTAGGGCTTCATGCTATTTAATATTTTAAACTTAACTTGGAGGCAAATAATACATTTACTAGAAGTATATACTATAAATAGAGCTTCCTTGGTTTTAGTTATTTAAGGAAAACCATAGTCGAGCTTTTAAGTCCCTCCTACACACTTCTGCATCAACACTTGTAGTAAATGTTAATAGGCAAATCTAATATAAATATAAATTAGATCTAAATCAAATGGTTAATTTATCAACAATACAGGTAGACCATAATTCTATTTAAACTTTTTTCATAGAAATATCTTAACTGGTTTAATTCTATACATAATAATGACAATACATCTGGAATTTACTATATTTAAGTCTGAATACACGCTACTTTTCTTGCCAAAGTGTGCAGAAAGATTTTAATGAATATAATATCAATGTTTATATTTCTGTAGGTATATTATAAACACCAAGAACATGGAATTTAAAAAATTGAAACAGACATTAAAACAAGCTTTGTTTGAATGCTTAAATAAGCAAAGACAATTTTTATAGGATTGAAAATACCTACATATATGAATATGTTCTTAAAAAGTTCAGTTTTACTAAAAGAATGAAGGCTTCTAACCAAAGGAAATCCTGCCCACTATCCCACCAGTAATTCATGTAAAGGTGAATGAATTCAACTATGATGAGAAGGATTACTATTTTATTTTTGTTTCCTTCTGCTTTTTCTTCTTTTGATTATTGCTGATGCTCATGCTACTAGAATTGAACATTTCAATAAATTATTCTGGCCCAATACATGGAAAAGATGCTACGAAAGGACAAACAAGAAATGCTTGATCTTTGCGTCTAGTCCATGCCTGACATTCCGGAAGGCCTCCAGGAATGTATATTACAGTTTTAATGAATATACTTTAATAATTAAAACAGTAATTTTATTTACATTTTCTTCTTAAATAGCATTCAGTTTAACTTTTAGTTTAATGGAGATTCATCCATTGTCTGCCTTGATGTGTCAATGAGGAGAAAACCTTGAAGGATTTAGAAACTTTTAAGTAATAAAATGGAGAAATTTAACAATCTTCCCCCCCACCCCCCACCAAAGGGAAAAAACCTCAAAATTCACAGGTTTTTAGAAATTTATGTCAAATTTATGAGAAAATCTAGTAATGTTTAGGAATGTTTGAACTGATTTATAAAGTAAAATAGTTATAATCAATGTAAGCTCAAATTTATCTTAATTAATTTACCCCACTGACAATATTGACATTGACAATATAATTAGAAATATAACTAGAACCAACTCACTGCAATGCTTTATTACAGATGCAGCCATTTTAATACTAATGTTATTTTAAAGGACTTCATCATGTTATAGTTTCATGAGAATTCTTACATCTTCAGTTATGAATTTATCATAGACGCCACAAAGTTTATCTCTCAAATCATATACATATTCTTCAACAGCATTTTTGGCATCATTTTTCTCCTTCTCCAGAATGTCTTGCATTATCATCTTCCCCTGAAGCAAATAAAAGAGTTCAGATAACTTAATCACAAATATTGTAAAAATCACAGTTGATTTTTTTCTTGAAATACATCTATATTCTTCCACCCCAAATTGTTGGATTTACAAGTAACAAATTTTCATTTCTGCACTGATACAATTGTAATATTATTTCACGTCTATGGTTCAAGATTTCTGCAGTTGCTTACCTCATTTTCAATGTACAAATTAATAAGATCCTGTTCAACCTGCCTATATAAGTTAACATGGATGGGTAGATCAATGCTCTTGATCTTTGTTTTGCTTGACTGATTTGCATCAATCTTATCTCCTGAAGCAGTCTGCAGAATAAGAAATTAAACTGTCATCATAACATCTGTTCCCATTGCACATAAAGATAGAATGATGAAAAAACTATATATGTATAATTTAGCAGATAAAGCAATATCCTAATATGCTGCCATTTTTAATAGCCACTATATTGCAATTTCTGCATATCAACTTCTTATGAATTTTAAAATACAAAATTTGAAAAATAGAATGATTCTATTTTCCAACCTTGCTTGGAAATAAATTCACCCTGAAGTGTTTTAGACTAGCAATTAAAGACCAATCCAAACAACAGTTTCTTCAAGGGTTATACATGACAAACATCCACCCTACCTCTATGTAAACATGAACCCTTAACATGAAAACAAAGTATACACTCTCCGAGTTTTATGATTTTACATATCAGGACACAGTAAAAATCATCTGGTCCTTAGCAGTTTTTAAAGGTAGTAAATGCAACCTTAGGTGAATAATACATGACATATTACACCATTACAAAAAGAAAGCCAAATGGAGAAGCCATGTGTGAAAAACTAACTACATGTTATGATTCAATAGCTTATAGGAGCACCTTTAGCAGCAATAACTTTCCTGTATGACTTTATCAGTTTCTCACATTGTTGTGGAGTAATTTTGGCCCACTCTTTTTTTACCATGTTGCTTCAATTCATTAAGCTTTGTAGATATTTGTATATGCACAGCTCTCTTGAAGTCCTGCCACAGCATTTCTGTTGTCTGGATTTTTATTGAACCATTGCAATTCCTTGATTCTTTTCTTTTTTCAGTCATTCAGTTGTAAATTTGCTGTTGTGCTTGGGATCATTGTTCTGTTGCATGACCCAATATCAGCCAAGGTTTAACTAGTAGACAGATGGCCTCACATTTGATTCTAGGATTCTTTGGTATACAGAGTTCATAGTTGACTCGATGATTACAAGGTGCCCAGGGTTAATAACTATAAACAAGCCCAAATCATCACCTCTCCACCACTGTGCTTGATGATTGATATGAGATGTTTGTGTTGATATGCTGTGTTTGGTTTTTGCCAAATGTGGCATTGTGCATTATGGCCAAACATCTCCACTTTAGTCTCATCTGTCCAAAGGACAATGTTTCAGAAGTCTTATGATTTGTTCAGATTCAACTTTGCAAACCTAAGCCATGCTGCCATGTTCTTTTTAGAGAGAAAATGCTTTCTCCTGGCAATCCTTCCAAACAAACCATACTTGTTCAGTCTTTTTCTAATTATACTGTCATGAACTTTTAACATTTAGCATGCAAACTGAGTCCTGTACAGCAGAGTTCCCCAACTTTTCCAGCTTTCTGGACCAGGGGATCGTTCTGTGCAAGTGGCTGGCAAGCATGCACAAGCAGCACCATTTGTGCAACTGGCACGCATGCATGTCCACCAAATGCACCACACTCACCCGCCATTTCCACAGCCCGATTGCAAACTGCTCATGGCCCACTAGGGGGGCATTGCACTGTTTGCCTTGGGATGAATTTATAAGTATGCCTACTCCTGGGAAGATTGGCAACTATTTTGAATATTTTCCATTTGAAAATAATCTTTCTCACTTTGAATTGTTTGGAAATGGCCTTATAAGTCTTCCCAGATTGATAGGCAGCACAATTGCTGCTCTTAAGATAATTGCTAATGTTTTTCCTCTGTGGCATTGTGTTAACACATACCTCAATGCTGGACACCAGCAAACTCCTAAAACTTCAGTTTTTATAGAGGCAATCAAACTTGCTGCTGATTACCTGATCAAGCTGCTATATAGCCTTTTCTTTCTTATGGAAGTGGTAAGGATGTATTTTACTAGTTTTTCACACAAGACTTCTCCAATTTGGCTTTTATATAAAACAAATTATGACATGGTGTGATGTGTATTGTTGTTCATCTGAAGTTGTATTTACTTTTAAGAACTGATAAGGACTAGATGATTTTTACCATGTCCCGATATGTAAAAACAATAGAACTCAAATAGAGTGTACTTTCTTTTTCACATGGCTATAAGTGAGAATGCCAACATATCAAAGCATGGCATACTATGTATTTTTCAACATTTCCTAGCACTATCAAAAGATAGACAGTCCTAATATTAGAATCTGATTTTATCATAATTTCATACATACCTTTCCTTCAGTACCTATATGATCAGTTTCCTCATCTGTTTGACTTTGTTCTATTTGGCTCTTTTGATTACCGTCATCTTGATCAATCTGCATTTTAGCCTATAAAATAGAAATTTTTAATTCCACACTAAACTTTACGGGAAGTTTTATTATTCTTGTCAACAAGCAGTAGCTTTTCACAATCCAACAAGGTAAAAATGATTTTAAAATACAAATAAAAGCAATGGTACTAAATTTTGTTTATTTGTATTTATTTATCACATTTTGAAACCTCCTCTCTCCCCCAGAAAAGGACTCTATTCTTGAGATACACCATTCCCCTACCTCCATGGTTTTTAGAAAAAAAATATTGACAAGTTTTTTTGGAGGGGGGCGATGCCTGTGTCTTTGAGTCAGTCATAACTGCTGGCAACCTCAATGTAAAATCCATGCAGTTGTTTTAGTAATACTTTTGGAATAGTTTGTTACTGCCTTCTTCCTAATAAAAGATTATTCAGTTCCTTCAACATGGTTTCCGAAAGGAAGTGTTCATGACTAATAAATAATTGTGGCTAGGAATTGTATTATTAATTACTTAATAATACAATTCTAATTATACATTACTGAGATTGTATTATTAATTACATTATTAATCAGATATTAAAAGTAAAACAACCCTCTTGAGACAAAATGTAATTGCATTTATAACAAAGAACACTTTAAAATGTTCTATAAATAGTGAAGGAGGGAGTTTTTTGAAAAAGAATCTTAGAAAAAGAAACGTAAAGTCTTAAATGAAAGTAAGACAGTAAAGCAGAACAATCGAAAGCTGAAAATAATCCCTAGAATTAACACCTTATTACTGTAAGAATTCACAAGCTTGAGGCAGAACATCATTTTTTATTTATGAAAATTTATATTTAGCCACACAGAGAAGGCCCTTCTTCTGGGTACCACCAGGTGTATCCCCCTCGGGGATGGGACCCGCAACATTCCCTACCTCTCTGTTCTAATAGGTCAGGTAGATGTGACCAGCAAGAGACAGTCCCTCAGATAATCTGGTCCCAAGCCATGAAGGGCTTTAAAGGTGACAACCAGCACCTTGAATTGCACCCTGAAGCAAATCAGCAATCAATGCAGCTCCCGCAAGAGAGGTGATACATGTGCACACTGAGGTCTGCACAAAACCATGTGGGCCACTGCATTTTGCACCAATTGGAGCTTTCGGATACTCTTCAAGGGCAGCCCCATGTTCATTGCAATAGTCAAGATGGGAAGTGAGGAGGACAGGAGTGACTATGAGTAGGGACTGTTGGTCCAGGAAAGGGCAAAACTGGCACACAACAGTTGTGCAAAGACCCTCCTGGCCACAACCGCCACCTGCTCTTCAAGCATGAGTCATGAGTCCAGGAAAACCCCTAGATTACGCACAGGGTATATGTTTGGGGTAGTCCAAGACCAAAGGTGGCAATTCTCCCTGACCCAATGAACCCCAAACCCAGAGCCACTCAATCTTGCAAGGGTTTAGTTTCAACCCTTTGCTCCGCATCCAGCCCCTAACAGCCTGTAGGCACTGCAAGAGGGAAGACACGGCATCACTTAATTCACTACAGGCCGAGACATACAGCTGAGCATCATCAGTATATTGGTGATAGCTCAGTCCATGGTGACAGATGATCTCACCCAGCGGCTTCATATAAATGTTGGAACAGGAGCAGAGAGAGTACCGAACCCTGTGGAACCCCATAAAGCAATGGGCGAGGGCTGCATCTCTATCAACACTGTCTGAGAGCAGTGCAGAGGATGGAAGTGAACCAGGATAGCAAAAGACCTCTAACTCCCATCCCCCGAAGCCACCCCCATGGTCGATGGTATCGAAAACTGCCGAAGGTCAAGTAGAACAAGAATGGATGCACTACCTCCATTTCGCGCTTGCCAGAGATCATCCAAAAGTGTGACCAATGCCATTTTTGTCCTGAATCCTGACTGGTAGGGGTTGAGTAATCCGTTTCATCCAGAAACCTCTGGAGCTGCCGCACGACTACCTTCTCAACAACCTTCCCCAAAAAGGGAAGATTAGACAGGTTGGAAATTATCCAGCTGGGTGGAGTCCAGCGATGGCTTAAGAAGTAGGCGGACCACAGCCTCCTTAAAGTGGTGGGGCACTGCCCCCACCTGTAGGGGAGCATTAATCACCGCCAGAGTCTACCCACCTGGGAAGCTTTCACAAGCCAGGGGAGAATGGGTCTAAAACACAGGTGTTTGCATGCATACTCCCTAGGATCCTGTTTACTTCCTTGGGAGCAACAGGTCAAACTGTTCCCAGATAACAGGGCAAGAACCTGCCTTAAGTTAAAAAAAAAAAATTCCAATATTTTTGAATAGTTTATTTTTTAATGTACACAGGCATCACTATTACGCTCAACTGTTAGCCAACATCTGAAGTTGAAGCATTGTTGCTATAATTATAAAGTACCAAATAATCTATATTTTTATAGAGGTGTACAATGATCCAGGAAAAGTCACTGCTGTTTTACAATGTTGCCAACATGTGCTTTATGAGTAGTCCTATGTGCTTTGAATCAGGTTTTTCTTTTGCTTCAACTCCCCCCCCCAAATGTTAAGACTTTTCTAATAGTGCAGCTATTAGAAAATCTTTACAATTACCATCTTTTATATCCTACTGTATTCTCAAAAAAGAATCCAAAACTATCTTTGCTATCTTCTGCTTACCGAATGCTATATATTTCACTTCAACCTCAGAGTAGAAAGGTTGCATCTCCACTTGTGAAAGGTGTCAATACACGTCATCGTATCAGAAAATAGTTAGCAAATATTTGAGAGAAACCAAGGCTTAAAAATTAAAATGGCTACATTATTATCCTTTCAACTCTTTACATCATTACTGACATTTGCATTAGCAATATTCAAGTTACAATCATATTTTCTGTTGCTTTGGCGTGCTTCTAACAGACATAATGTAAATTTGTTTAACTTAACTATTTTAAAACTTCTATGGATGTTGAGACATATTTACAAATAACTAAGCATATTTATATAGTTTTATAAGAGATTTCTCAATACAGTGTCAAAGATATAGCCTTTATTAGTATAGAGAAAGAGTGAATAAGTATGTATGTTTATAAAAGCAAGGAATATAAGAAAGGTTAAAGATAGAACGCAAGTTAATTTACATGGGATAAAAAAAATATTGAAAGCACTAGGATTAAAAAATTTCATAGGTTTGGAAAAAAAGTTAAATTACTGAAACAAACTAGATTTTCAAAACAAAAATTCTTAATGACAAAGATTAAAAGTAAAAAATAACCCCACTGCATTTAGTCAGCACAGTACATACCACAATTTAGAATTAAGAATTCTATTTATAATTTTTACATACCGGTTCCTCTTTGCTTTGATTCCTACATGACAATTCTGTGTCCATTGGAATATCATTAGGCTCATTGTCCAAATTTTGCTTCTCTACTACAGATGCATTAGCCACACTGAAGATTCCATGGATATTAACTCGCACTTTAACTTTAACTTTTGAATTATCACCATCGTTTTGGGGACCAACATTTTGAATAACAAAATGACCTAAACAATACAGCAATATGGCACTGGTTAGTACACTTACTTATTTATAGCAAACATTACAAAAACATTTATGAACGTATACTTCACTTATTGTTTTTAATGATGGTTTGAAGTGATGATGCCTCAGACTGTCGCCTAACCTCCAGTCACGTGATTGCAAGTTGGGCACTTAGCAACTGGATCCATTTACAACAGTTCGGCATCTTGTAGTTACAAAATTGTAACCTTCCCAGCCAGCTTCTGAGAAGCAAAGCCAACTGGGGAAGCCAGAATCACTTAATCACCACATGATTTGCATAATGACTGCTGTGATTTCTTTAACAGCCATAAAAATAGGAAAAAAAATCAGTTCTGCTTACATGATGACTTGTTAACAATCACACTGCTTAATGACCAAAATTCCAGTCCCAATTATGGTTGTAATGTGAGGATAACTGTATGCATGCATCTTTGATGGACAACTTCCTCAAATGGCTGCTACTGCAGCTATGCCTGAATAACTGTAAGCTGCCTACAGTCACCATGGGAAGAAGGGAGGGGCATAGAAGTTTAATAAATAAATGCCAGTCAGACATTTGTTTCCATTAAGAAGAAATAGAAGTAAACAATACCAAACCATATCTGTTTGGTGGATAGAAAGCCTTGAAAAATATATTACAAGCACTAAAATCTAATTGAAAACATAGAAATAACCAGTTTCCTCTAGTGCAGCATCCTATTATCCCTCTATAACCTTCTCCAGAAGGGGAAGATAAGGAACGTATAAACATAGGATAAAAGGATACTCAGAATCCAAAATATTTTGTACATTACAATCAACAACTGCTAAGTAAAAGAAAATACAGGCAGTCCTCGGTGAATGATAGTAATTGGGACAGGAATTTACAGTTGCAAGAAAAAGTATGTGAACCCCTTGGGATTACGTGGAGTTTTGCATGAATTGGTCATAAAATGTGCTCTGAACTTCATCTAAGTCACAACAATAGAAAAACAGTTTGCTGAAAATAATACTACACAAACATTAGATGTTGCCATGGTTTAATTGCACATAACATGTAAACATTCACAGTGCAGGGAGGAAAAAGTATGTGAGCCCCTAGCCTAATGACGTCTCCAAGAGCTAATTGGAGCCAGGAGTGAGCCAACCTTGACTCCAATCAGTGTGATGATATTGGATGTGTTGCTGACAGCTGTTCTGTCCTTTAAAAACACACACCTGTTTTGGGTTTACTGGTTTCCAGAAGCACTGTCTGATGTGAACCATGCCTCGCAGAAAAGAGCTCTCAGAAGACCTACGATCAAGAATTGTTGACTTGCATGAAGCTGGAAAGGTTACAAAAGTATCTCCAAAAGCCTTGATGTTCATGTTTCCACGGTAAGACAGACTGTCTACAAATGGAGAAAGTTTAGCACTGTTGCTACTCTCCCTAGGCATGGTCGTCCTGTAAAAATGACTGCAAGAGCACAGCGCAGAATGCCTCATGAGGTAAAGAAGAATCCTAGAGTGTCAGCTAAAGACCTACAGAAATCTCTGGCACATGCTAACATTTTTGTTGACACATCTACAATAAGGAAAACATTAAACAAGAATGGAGTACATGGGAGGACACCACGGAGGAAGCCATTGCTGTCCAAAAAAAATATTGCAGCACATTTGAAGTTTGCAAAAGAGCACCTGGATTTTCCACAGCACTACTAGCAAAATATACTGTAGACAGATGAAACCAAAATTTAGTTGTTTGGGAAAAACACACAACACTATGTGTGGAGAAAAAAAGGCACAACACACCAATATCAAAACCTCATCCCCACTGTAAAACATGGCGGAGGGAGCATCATGGTTTGGGGTTGCTTTGCTGCCTCGGGGCCTGGACGGATTGTTGTCATTGATGGGAAAATGAATACCAGAGTTTATCAAAATATTTTGCAGGAAAACGTACGACCATCTGTCCGCCAACTGAAACTCCATAGAGAATGGCTGGTGCAACAGGACAATGACCCAAAGCATACAAGTAAGTCAACACAAAAATGGCTTCAACAGCACAGAATACGCCCTCTGGAGTGGCCCAGTCAGAGTCCTGACCTCAACCCGATTGAAATGCTGTGGCGTGACCTTAAGAAAGCGATTCACACCAGACATCCCAAGAATATTGCTACACTGAAACAGTTTTGTGAAGAGGTGTGGTCCAAAATTACTCCAAATCATTGTGCAGGTCTGATCTGCAACTACAGGAAACATTTGGTTGAGGTTATTGCTGCCAAAGGAGGGTCAACCAGTTATTAAGTCCTACGGTTCACATACTTTTTCCTCCCTGCACTGTGAATGTTTACATGTTATGTGCAATTAAACCATGGCAACATCTAATGTTTGTGTAGTATTTTTTTCAGCAGACTGTGTTTTTCTATTGTTGTGACTTAGATGAAGTTCAGAGCACATTTTATGACCAATTCATGCAAAACTCCACATAATCCCAAGGGGTTCACATACTTTTTCTTGCAACTGTATATTGCTAAGCAATGTGTTTGTAAGGTGTGACTTGATATGATTGTGCCACTTGGTGATAGTTACTAGTTACTAATAAATGACATATCCAGAAAAGTACAAAATATATTAAAGCAAAAGAACTAAGCATTGTGCACAGAAAACAAGACATTACTAATTAAAAGTTATTTTATAACTAAATCTATTAGGTGAAGATTCTCATAATTTGAAGCAAATCTTTAAAAAGTTTTTGTTGTCATGCTCAGCAAGTAACCAAAGCATTTACCTATTCTTGTATCAGGATAAGGAACATCATGAGGATGTGTATAAAATGCTTCCAATTCAAAAGGCTCTTTTTTGTGGAAAGTAATAACTTTTGAGAATGGAGAAGCATGATTTTTGTTGAAGACTTCACATTCACTATAGAAAAGAAGAGTGCTTATAATTTAAACTCAAAAAGAATTACAAATAATGAGAATAGGAAAGTAGACACAATGCATCTTGTGACACCAATTACCTGAAGCCAGAGAATTAAAACTACTGTTACTTCCATATTATAATTGTGTACAATCAATAATTCATAATAAACCATCCATTATAAATTTTATTTTCACAAAACTAATAATTTTGAGAGGAAGTTACATAACACAACATTAATATTAATTTAATGGAACTTTAAAATTGTAACCTCTTTAAAGATAACAAGCTAGGATACATACAACTCAATACTTAGACAAATACGATAGGAAGTTGAGAGGAACTCATTTAAAAATTAACCACAGAATGGCCTCCACTTACAAGTCTTTGCAATTAAAAGCAGTGCCCACGCATGCGCACACATACATGCACTTACACACAATGAGGGGGAAAGAGAAAGAGAGAGAAAACATAAAATAAATTCAACTTTAAATTCAAAAAGTTAAATCCAACTTTAAATTGCTTCTGTAGGTACATTGAAGATTAACCAGACAAATAAGGCTACATAGCAGAGTTAGTATGACATGAGGATAAACCCAATATGTTACCTTAGTTTTCTTGCATTTCTAGAATAGTCAGGGAGAAAGAGGGAAAGTACTGATGGAAGAGCAGTATAATTATAGTCCTTACAACTTGAGTGGAGAGGAAGGAAAAGTAATGGAAGCAGAAAAGATGAAATCAGCAGGATTAGGTCAAGATATTCTGTTGCTTGAGACAGAAGAGCAATCTGTTTTCCCAACATGAGTAGTATATAAGATTGGCTAAGATACTTTGAAGTACAAGATAAATGTACTTGAAGTTTTTTTTCCCCCTGGAAACAAAGGCATTAAAAAAAATTAACTAGACTGTCATGACCTTAAACTCAGCAAAGGAACTGCCTTTCTTTTTCCAATGTAATTAAGTGCCTTGGGGGATTTTTTTTAATGTACTTAACACTGAATTGACTCTCAAGCTCAGCAGAAAATCAGAAACAAGTACAGTCATGTGAAAAAGAAAATACACCTTCTTTGAGTTCTGTGGTTTTACATATCAGGACATAATAAAAAAATTATTCACAAGTGGAAAGCATTCAAGACATTATTTCTGTAAGCCGCCCGGAGTCCTTCGGGATTGGGCGGCCTATAAATTTATTAAACAGTTAAACAGTTGCCAATCTTCTTAGGGGCAGACATCCCAACAAATTCACCCCAAGGTTAGACTACAATGCTCAGAAAATTGCAAAAAAGCCATGAGTTACATCTCAGACTCTACAGGCCTCAGTTAGCATATTAAACATTAAACATTCATGAGAGTACAATTTAAAAAAAGACTAAGGAAGTATGGTTTATTTGGAAGAATTGCCAGAAGAAAGCCTCTTCTCTCTAAAAAGAACATGGCAGCATGGCTTAGATTTGCAAATTTGCATCTGAACAGATTATAAGACTTCTGAAACATTGTCCTTTGGGCAGAAAAGACTAAAGAGATGTCTGGCCATAATGTATAGTGCCATATTTGGTAAAAACCAAACACAACATATCTACACATCTCACATCAACCATCAAGTACAATAACACCAGGCTTCAAATTTGCGGCCAGGATTTGATTGTCTTGAAAGAAATACCACCTCAAATGCTAAGAGCCAGGAGAGATTATGCTTTTCTAGTGGAAGAACTCAGAAACCGTCAGATACAGTATAGATGGGATGTGCCATTTGGTATCATAATTACATTTGATAAGCAAAAATATCGTCTCAACTCTGTATGGGAAGCCCGAGATTTCTATCACAAGACCCTGAAGGTGGGACACCCTGAATCATCTGGATCTGGAGAAAGACTACGAGAAGGACAAGATAAACAGCAAATCACACAACTACCAGACAGAAAGCACCGATTCCTCCTTCCGGAAGGGCAAGGGACCAGAGAACAAGGATCTAGCCGTACGACTACCAGACGAATGGGAAAACAAGGCAGATTGCAACAACCTCAATAATCATCGGCCATTGATCAAGGAGTTATGTTTGAA